ACATATACTCATATACTAAGCTGTGCTTGTTAAGTTGACTGAATCAAACTAAGACTGGCATGACAATGTACAGGACATTCACAAAACCAATTAAAACATCTATTTTAATGATATAGGAATAATCATCAACCCACTATTTTTATTTTTATAATTACAGTGAAATAAAGTAAAACTATATAATTGGAATTTTAAGGTAATTATATGGTAATTTTTTATGAGTAATTTAATACTGCCTTTTTAAAGCATAAAATAATTTATTATGTCCTTAAATATTTAACAGTAATAAATATTACCCGTTATTTGTAGACTCTTAGAAATCAACTAAAATGCTATACATCTAATTTTAGCACAGCTAAAGTTATTTTTATACATCTGAATTTACCAGTAAACACCGGATTTAAAACCACAATTGGGAACCCTCAATGTACAAAAATCATAGAAATAGCATTAAACTTTTAAACTGCTAGAACCTTTGGTTAAAATCAACGTCTTTCATTAGTTTGAGATGTTGGCAAATAACCACTGTGTCTGCCTTCTAAGTTTAGAGTTCTTGAACTAGTTCCTACTTCAAGAGAGATTGGATGTTAATATATAAAAGCTTTTCCTTAAAATAGAGTGCTAATAGAATTTGTTAATTACATAAAGATTATCAGGGATCCTTGAAAGAGACCAGACACAATCTCACTAAAATGGGTCATTAATGTGCATTTCAGAAACTTAACTAAACATCAAACCAACCACAGAAAGTATCTGCTGACCTTCCCACAAAGGTCAGTATGAAGAATCATGAATTACTACGTACCTCTGCTTCCACCGCCAACTGGTAGGCAATTTTTAACTCTCCCAGTTGAAGAGCAAGCTCAAAGCGATGCTCAGGATCTGTGGATACTGTAAGAGCTTGTTGCTTGAATCCCTAAAAAGATTTTTAAAACAATGTATGTGTGGTGTGAGTTCTCTGGCTTCAGGCATGACTCATCACTGCATTTAAAATGTTTAACTTCCCAGCCAAAACAAGTTCCCTGCCTCCCATTCAGCCACCCAGGAGTATAATATAAAGATGGCATCCTGAATGATTTGAGTAACTTCTTTACTAGCACTGCTATAAACATTGTGAGAGGATAGAAGATCTATAGAACTGGTTAGACACAGGCAAGGGCAGAACATGAGATACGATGGACCGAATGCATGTACTTACTTTTCCTTCCCTCCAAGTTCCACTAAAATGACACTAGAGGGATTTTAATTTATTTTTATGGCATAAGCTCCCAAGGACATACAAAAAGAGAAAGGAGACTTTAGCAACAATGTAAGTGTAAACACTTAGAAAGGACATTAGAGAACAATGAATCTTAAATCAGAAGTGAAGATGGTAGAAAATACCTAGACCCACAGAAGACAGGTTTACTCTTTGGAAAGGATAAATGAAGGGTGTCTGGTCCAGGGGAGAGATGAAATACTGAACTCTGAGACTCAGCCCTCTTTTCTTCTACTTGGCACCTGGAGTCATGCTGATTGAGGAACTTTGGTTTAATGTAAGCAGCCCCGGGGAAACAACTTGAAAACAGAGTACCAAAGTTTCAACCCCATGCTTAGCTAGAATAGCTCCAGGTTCAGTGTTATATGCACATGCAATTCAGTAAGTGAATAAATTTGTTAATTGAACTCATTAAGTGAATAGATAGGAATTCTTAAGTGTTGCAGAACTTTTTTTCAAAAGTGCATATAAAACTCTGATGAAAAAAATAGTACATTAAGAGGAAGGCAGATAGGATACAGAGAAAAGGCAGTGTAAAAATGAAAATGTTAAGAGGGTCTATAGAAAAGGACGATTACTAATGTTGAAGGGGGTACTAAGGGCATGTTGAGATAGAAGAAGGTCAAGGATAAGGACAGTGAACATACGCTCAAACATATGACTTAAACAATTCTACTGCCATAAGGAAATCAGTGGCAATTAAGTTTTCCAAATCCAAATCCATGCTAAGACTCTTATCAAATTAGCTCTAAAGAACAAGCAAAGAAAGACTTCACTTACTTGCTTTTCCAAAAAGTGTGCAACTCTGGTCCTCTGCTCTTTTGGAATAGTGGGGAGGACCTTATCAGCCATGCCGAAGTCCCTTCGCATGACAGCCGTCTGGTATTCCAGCACTGAGACTAGCAGGGAGTAGCTGACGATATTCAGTTCTTTATCCCCCAGGTAGAGTCTGTTGTCTTTAGGAATATAACCCAGGAGATACATGGTCCTAAATAAAAACAGAAACCAATTCTGAAATAAGCCCAAGTCTGTACTAAAGCACACACATACCACCTGCTGTATATCTATCTGTATGTGTGCCTCTTGCTTAAAATCTTTCCAATTGATTGATGAAATATTATCGACAATAGTCACTAAAACTACAACATTGAAAATTGGTTCTTATCGCTATATGTAAATAACAGGTTTTGTTTAAAGAGCATGCTTTTAAATGTATGATGCTGAAGACAAAAAAAGATACTGAGCTACCTGTCCAAGTGAGCAATGGTGACTATTTCTCCTCCAACATAATAATTTAATCTGTTGACAGAACTTGTGTAAATGAAGCAGTCGCCTACCCACAGCCCAGTTTTCACAATTTCCTGAATCTCACCAAGAACCTGCAGAAAGCGAGGGGAGGAAGATCCAAATTAGTAAACCTGTCAGAAACAAAAGCTGAATTAGGGGTGGTAAAGAACAATAAGGAATGCAAAATAAACTCCTACTTCAAGAAAGCAATCTTTCCATGGAATTTCTCTTTCTTCACTTCACAAGAGATTCCTGGTTTAAGTATTTAAAATGTGAAATCTCATTGTTGGCTCAAAGTTTGTGGTCTGAAGTTTGGGTCTAAACCCCTAACCTAACCCATAAAACTGGAATATGACAGTTTTATACAACTTCCCAGGACCTCTCCACAATTCCATCATTTGGAAGCTCATTTAAATCACTCTGGCTAAACAGTCTTAAGACTAAAGCAACTTCTAATTCCTTTTATGAAAGATATCATTTGTACAAAGATTTACTACAATCAAAGCACAAATTCTTTTTAAACATACATGTTTTTAGACTTTAGTCTCTGAGTCGAGATGTTCATTCTCAAATTTCAACAGATGTCTTAATTGATTTAGCTTCCTCAGACTTAATTTATAATGAAATGTTCTATTAAAAGTATATAAATCATTTAAAAAACAAGCTTAAACTGTGCTGATGCAGTTACCTCAAAGGCATCTTCAATGCCATCTTCAGTAACTCCTTCATGTGTTTCCTGTGCAACCAAAACTTTTTCCGACAGATACTTAAGGATGAAAAATGATTCCTCGGTGGCAATACAGACTAGCTCTCCAGAGTCAGACCAGAAAATCTGCAACACAGCAAATAAAACCACAGGCAATTGATTTTGGATTTGAGTGAAAATAGAAAATTATACTTTTTTTCTTATAAGACCTACCTTTTTATAAGATAATAAGTATGTGCTTTACAATTCTATATAGTAGATACACAGATGTGTATCTATATAGTATACAGATGTGTATATAGTATACAGATATACAGATGTGTATACTATATAGTAGATACACAGAGGAGAAGGGGGTGAATTTGGCCTAGTGATGGTGGAAAGATTAAAAGACTCAGGGCAAACAGGTAGGAGAGCTGTAATTTAATGGAATAGCAGCCTATTTCCACTTATTCTAGAATTGTTTGGGGGTGGGGGAGCTTTTTTTTTTGTCATTATCACATCTTCCTAGGGAGCCTTTTTAGAGTCCTAGTGTGGCACTGTAGGATATGACCTGAAATGCTAGCCACAAGTTGGCAGTTCAAACCCACAGCTGCTCTTTGGAAATCTTACGTGGGGTTGCTATGAGTCAGAACCAATGCAATGGCACTTAATAGTAACTAATAACAGGGAGCCTTTTTAGACATCCTTTGCCCCCTCATTGTGTCTCCTTGTGAAATTTAAATACCATAGATTACATGATGGGACTTAAAAATCTTTGTGAAATGATGTGATATTTTCCATAACTTTTTAAAGCCCCTTTATATATTGTGTGTGTATAATGCATTGTGTGTATGTATGTATATATATATATATACATACATACACACACACACCATACACAGACATATACATATGTTCATCTGTAATTCATATATAAGGAAAGTTTTTCACCCTCCTCTCCAAGATCCCATTTTTGCCTTCTTGCACGTTATGTTGTCCCTATTGAGAAAGCTGCTCCAGAGGACAGAGCCAGGGCTAGGAGATGTGAGCTCTGGGAGGCAGATTTGTCTCCAAAGATGATCTCCTAAAAATGAAGCTGTCAAGCACATAAGCTAGCAGCTCTGAAAAGTAGGAAACTTTCTGCCTCTGGGCACATTCCCTTAAGTTTTCATACTTGTCCAGGAAGACTAGGAAAATGTTTTCAGAACTGTGTTAACCTTTCCAAGTCAAGAGCTGCTGAGTTGTCTTCAAAGCATGCTTTTAAAATTCTGCCAATGACCACTGAAGATATGAATAGCATCTGGCATTTGTATAACTTTTTATACTTTTCAAAAACACCCCAAACAGCTATGCCTCGTTCATATACCACATATATCACAATCCTGTTTTTCTGAGCATCCCTGAGGTAAATGGCAGTGTGTCCAACACAATGAAACAAGGACAGCAGGGCGCATCACAAAGATGCACACTACAAAGAGCACAAAGGGAAAACGCACGTGTTTGGGCTGAATTTCAATTCTGCGTATGAGTTCTGTATTGTCCCAGTCATAGAAGGCCAAGCCATTTACAGATCTGACTCCCAGTAAGAAGCCTCCATAGATACCTAAAAGAATTAAAAAGAATTGTTTAGGTGTTTCTGAGCAACTACCAAGCTTCAAACAATGTAAACTGTATGTAAATAGCACTCACTTTCAGCTCCAAAGTCGGGTTTAAAGGATTTCTTTTCTTTAAAGTTCTTAAATATCTTTACAACACTGTTGCTCTCTCTTATTGCATATCTGTGAGTTAGGGTGGATAGTGGGAAGGGGAGGCAAACACAGCATATTACATACTAAATGATACTTCCACCAAATGCTAGGAACATCTTAGCATGTTTTTTAATGAGGAATTATACAAAAATATAGAAAGCAAGTTAGAAGATTCACTAATGTTATTTTTATCCTAGGCAATCAGTGAATTGCTAACAGCTGGGCAAGAAATGAACAGGTTTCAGATTTTCTATTACACAGACTGCTAGCGTTCACAAGCCAGTTTAGAAATTGGAAACCCTCTAAACATCCATCAACAGGTGAAGCATTAAAGCAAACTGTGGTACAGATACAGTTGAACAAAACACACACAACTTAAAACTCATCACATTCATTCTGGGACAGGATAACCTGCACTTACGTTTCCTAAAAAAAGAGTTACTACCCATGAAACAACATGGATAGATCTCAAAAATACCTGCTGAACAAAGGAAGCCAGATATAAAAGATTGTATACTGTATGTCTGTCTTTCTATAAAAACCTAAAAAAAAAAAAAAGCCAAATCTAATCTATACAGTGACAAAAAGCAGATCATGGAATTAGCAGCAGGGCAACTGACTTCAGGTAAATAAAAGCATTTGGAGGGAGGATAGAACTATTCTGTATATGATGATGTATATAATGATAACATTGCATATATGTGTCAAAATTTACTGCAATGAATACTTAAATGGCGTGTGTTGGAGTATAAATTATACCGCAGTAAAGGTGATTTACAAAAGAAAAAACATTCACAAGTGGCTCACTAGTCAGCTATGTTTGTCAGCAAGTTGGAATGGCTTCTCTTGAGGCCTCTGTCTGTAAAAGAAGGGCTACAGCTATGCAGGGACAGGAGTGTGAGGAAGTGATTAGATGAGTGCTTACTTGGGGCAGGATCCTGGTGGATGATAAAAATGTGAAAACAGAAGGAAAGCAGAACAGCAATTCATTCACTTCAAGTTTTCTTAAGGTAACCAAGCAAGTTAACTTGGAGTAGTATGGAACTGTGTATGTATGAGTGTGTTTAGGAAAGTCGGGAAAAAGTCAAAGCAATCTTTATCTCTTAGTAAATCTTACTGTTTGAAACAACAAATAAAAACAGGTATTTTTATTGTACCATGCTAAGGCTCAAGTAACCTCAAAGTTGGGGCAGTAGGGGAAAAGAACTATGAAAGTGTAATTCAGGCAGTCGCCTGAAAATACCAAAGTCCTAGTACTGATTACATGTACCAAACAGGAATCAAAAAGGAACTAGAGGAAATGACTTTCTAATATAATCATAACTCACAGTTTAATTATTTTGTTTTCAGTGAGAATACTTTATGAACATTCTAATTTAACAGAAATTTATATTGTTGAGAAAAAAGGAGCAAAACCACAGAAAATAAGTTTGAACAAAGATTCCATAACGTTCTCACCAAATGGCACTAGACCACAGCATCTCTCCCAACTAGCTCACACAAGGAAGCACCACCAAACAGCTTCAGGTCCATGGCAAGAAAGTCATAGGGAGCAGAGCTCCTCCCAAGGACCTCAGTGGAGGGACTACTTTACCTTCAGCCCATAAGCTCCAGGCCATGGGCTCCATCAAGAAAATGAGTGGCGGGCGCTCAGTTTAATGGGATTATTAGATCAGGTCAAGTAAGCCAGCTCAACGGTGAATACACAAAGGCCAAAGATAGCTGCCTCTGACTCTCATCTCCCAAGAGGCAACTCAAGTGCCTTTTAACAAGCAGTACAGCCCATGTTGAGCTACGAAACCCTTTTTAACACACTTGCACAGAGACCACCCATCTGTAATCAGGGCAAGCTGAGAATCTTTATGGGCAAAACTTACTCCGATGAATCGTGGGCCCAAGCAAACTCCTGGGCAGACCCAAAGCTCTTGTTTCTCAGTGCCATTGCTGTATAGATGATATACTCACCATCACCACACACCACAACAAACCTAGGAATTAAACAAAACGAGAGTGAAGTACAGAGAGCTAATGACATAGAGAAGTCAGCAAACAATTACCAACTAACAGTAAAATAATTCTAATGACAAACGGTGTTTCAGTTGTTACAATTTAGTATCTTTTTAAGTTATGCATTTCTTTGACAACAGAGTTAGATAGATAGATAGATATTTTAACCAACAAACCCAAAAGCACGTTATGAACGTGGGGTTTTTGCTTATTGCAATGGCCTTTACTAAGAAACAACACTGGGGAGAGAAAGATGAGAAAAGGTGCAGAGGTGAGGGATGGGGAATTTCAATTACTCAATTAGTATTTGTTGAACATCATTATTACCACCAATTGTCTCATTACATTTACACCATGACAGTACATGAAGACACTATCTTGCTGCAAGACTATCTTCATTGTACAGTTGATCATTCAAAAAAATAAAAATATTGTACTCTAGTTTTAAAGTTTATCAAAATAAGCATGGTATCTTAAAACAGGTCTCTATGATTATCATTTAGAACATTTTAATAGCTGTTACTAAGGGACTGTCAACGGTAAAATGCAAACTTTGTGGCAAAGAATGTGTTCTGACAGAAAAAGGTACTTTTTGTTGTTGAGTGCCGTTGAGTCAGATCTGACTCGTAGCAACTCTAGAAAGAGTTCCCAAGGAGCAGTTGGTGGGTTTGAACTGCTAACCGTGTGGATCACAGTACAGTGTTGATCCTAAAGTGCTATAAATAATTATGGGTACCAATTACTGAACTAGGTATCATACTTTGTCTTTTTAAATAATCAGGGCAGCCATCAGAAGATGCCCAAAATAATTTTTAAAGCTCCACAATTTAAACCCACGATGCTAAGACAGAAACTCCCCTCTTACACAATGTTCAGTGCTTAAAAATCTTTAAGGAGGAAAAAGAACTGAGTGTTCAAATTCTGAATAAGAAGCAGAGTTATTATCAATTTCAGAACTTTTTCAAGAGACACATCCCTTCAGAGCAATGAGACAGCCAGTATGTAGAGAGAATCTACTAAGTCTGGTAAGACATGGTCCTTGACCTCAAAGGAGCTCAAGGACACAAACCAATACCTTTTCAATAAAAGTAACTATGAAATTATTTAACTGTTCAGAATTGTGTGGTACAGGAAAGGCCAGAGGGCAGATGCACAGTATCTCATATGTCTACTCTAACTCCATCAACTGGCATGGCTGCCTGCAACTGTTTTAAGGAGTGTGAAGCCAGAGCACAAACTCAATGAGGACTATAAATGGCCACCACAAGGCAGGGGTGGCACCTGCACTGAACAGACATGCTCTAACATACACAGCACTCAGAGATTTCTATGATTACTTACCGACCATTGGGATTGTGCTGAATAGTCTGAGGGTATATCTCACAACTGCCCATGTCCTTTACCGCTAGTGGCAATCTTTCTCCATCTTTAATTTCAGCATCCCCCATTGCTTTCAGGTTGGCCTGCTGGACTTCTGAATGCTTGGCCCAAATTATCTTTCCATTGGCATCCATTGACATGGCAGGCTCCTCCCGACCAAGCTAAAGAATGACAAATGACTCAGTAATGAAAAGGAAAACATAGAACATATGAACAGAACAGACATTCTCCTAGTTCACTGAATATTGTTCTTAAGTGCTGTCAAGTTGGTTCCGACTCAAAGTGACCCTGTATAGAGTTTGAGGAGTGGATAGTGAATTTGAACCATCCTTCTGGTTAGTAGTCCAGTGTTTATCCTACAGCGTCACACCAAGACTCTGTCTGTGTTTCATTTAGCAGAGAGCTCTATTTCTTTTCCTCACTTTAAATCTCTAGGGCTTAAAGCCAGAAGTGGCCAGTCTAACAAAACTGGTGACTTGGAAAACGATACTAGAAAACTGCTTGGATCAAGACATAGGTTGAATAGGTAAAAGAGGGTAAAAAAACTGTCTTGTGGATATTGGTTTCCCCTGCCTACTACTGTAAAATAGACATTATGTGTGATAGAAATGAAAATTGGAAATGACGACTATAGAAAGCTTGTAAGCCCCGTTTCTGTCTATAACCGAGTTAGAATTTGCCCATGGAAATAGGATTCTTATTAAGCCTTTGTACAGTATGGGGCCTTAGGTGGAATCCTGAGCCTGTCCCAGAACCTTCTGAGTTGGGACACACCCACTTGAAAAGACATTCAGACCAATCCAGAACAGCTGAGAGAACAGAAGATTCTTATTGGAAGAAAGACCTGCAGAAAGCAGATTGTTTGGCTGTTTGAGTTTCAAGCAAGCTGCTTGTTTAGAGGCATCAAGGTAAGAAAAGTAAGCCCATCAGGGGAACCCCCTTCTAGGACTAAAACTTAAAGAGAACCCACAAGCAGGTTAGTATGCTTGCTGGTGAAGTGAGGGAAATGCAGCAATGACGACTTTGGCTGAGTTGGGCCATGTTCCATTGACATCGCTGACCTTGAGATGAGAGAGAGGAGAGGAAGGGCTGACTAGTCTGAAGTTTAAGGAGCTGTGTGAACTTCTGAGCTCATGGGTACTGACCTAGCCCTGGGAGACTAAGGCTGAGAATGAAGCAGCCAGCTGGTCTGAAGTGCAGGGAGATGTGGGTGAATTCTCAAGCTTGCAGCTTGTACCCATTTGACTTAGTAGGTGACCAGAGCTCAACCAGATGAATATAAAGATGTTTGATACTGTGAGCAAGTGAAAATTGCTACAATTTGATGAACTGGACTTTTGCTTATGGATGTAAGTGCTCAACATTCCAAATGGAATGGAAGGATTCTTTTTATCAAGGAGCAAGCTTACTTCTTCAGTGTACTGGGGAGGTTGTTGCTGTTGTTAAGTGTTGTCGAGTTGGTTTCAACTCATAGTGACCCTGTATAGGGTTTCCAAGGAGCAGAGGGTGGGTTTTAACCACTGACCTTGTAGTTTGCAATCCAGTGCTGATCCTACAGCACCCCATAGGGATGGGCAATTTAGACATTGGCCATCATAAATAGGGTGGGGAGGCTGTTCAGGCATGAAGTGGCTGGCTTACAAACTTTCATGAGTGTGCTTAGTTTAAGAATCTGGGGGGTAAGGTGGAATCTCTCCTGAATAGTTCTCCTCTTTTCCAGATGGATCTGTTGAAAATGGGTGGGGAGTGCTGGTGACAAAATGTTATGATTCAGTTGTAAGGAATTGTTAGCAGGATTAATTGTGACTGTCATAACTGTAATTGTAGAAGATGTAAAGCTACTATAAGCAGGGAGTAGTTAACTTTCATTTCAGGAACAGATGATCCCAGGACCAATCAGAAGGAAGAGCATGAATAGAGCATGCAACCCCTACCTAGAAAAGCAGCTACAGCAGAGAACAGTGACAAAGGTGGTAAGAGAGACAGAGCAGCCACGGGCCCTTTGGACATTTAAATGAATATATATTTTTTGTTTTGTAGGTGTACTTCAAATATTTTTGCCTTGTTCATTTGTGAAATATAAGATGTAAATGGGAGCCATAGGGAGGAAGTAGGATAATTGTTATTGCAGGGAGAGGTTTATAATCACTGAGATGAAACAAAGTTAATAATATGTTGAATGTATAAAGCTGATGATCTTGCCTGTAAGCCTTTACTCAAATCACAATGTAAAGTTTAAAAAAAAGAAGGAAACTATTCCTATGTTCTCCAATTTAGACAGGCAGTATGACTCTAGGCTTTACCTTTACAATGATGCTCCCTTCATCATATCCCAAAGCGACATTGTTGGATCCTCTCAGACTGGCCACACACCACACCCTTTCCATTCCATAATTCAGTGTGCTCTCAAGACGGTATGTGCTTGAATGCCAGATACGTACTGTTCCTAAAAAGAACAATGTGAATATTCTCTTTTGGTTTGAACATCCAACAATTAACTGCCAGGTGAAAGAGCTAAAGGAAAGTCTTTTTAGTCATATAGGAAATAGTTTCTGGCCATATAATGACCAAATTGTTTATATGAAGTCAAGAGCAATTTTAAAAGGCAACATAAATAAATCTAGAAATTGAAAAAAAAAGATAAAAAACAAAAACTAAGAAATGTGAATTTTAAGTGTGAACTAATATTAGGCTTTCCTATGCAAAGGCCCTAGCATCCACAGGTGTTATATATGTATGATCTTTCTCATGCTCACCATAATATCATGAGGTGGATGTTTATTCCATTTCAGAAACTGCCCATACCACATATCCATGAATCAGCAGAGGCTGAATCTGACTCCAAAGCCCATTCTCTTTTGTTTTTCTCTAGAATGTCTGAATGTTCTTTTATTTAAGTGACAGAATCAAAATACATTAGGAATGATGATGATTCCCCTTTACTGTTTTATAATTCAAATCCACAACTCTCATAAAAATGACAAAATTCTTGGAAGCCACCAATGACAAGTCAGGGACACTACCTGGCTTAAAATTCCACTGAATATCTATAAACATAGGAAGAAAATAAGACTTCTACCTTACCATCTTCTGAACCTGTGATGATGATTGGCAACTCAGGATGAAAGCTGGCACACGACACATTCTGGGCATGCCCCTCGAGTGTCTGCACACACGTTTTATTCTGTAATCAATATACAGAATATAATCTATTAGTAAAAAACAAGTAGCCCATTTTTAACCAACCCAATTCGAAGGTATACTATATAGGACAATGGTAATAACAATCTAAATAGTATTCAGTATAAAAGCACTGGAAATAAAATTGCCCTGTTATGCACATGGATATTTTCTCCTGTTATTCCAGGAAACATAAAGGCAAATGAAAATGTAACAATCACAATTAAAGAAAACCGTACTGGGAGACTTTGGTTTTCATCTAAATATTGTTCCCCCAAATTCCTAAGATATTGAGTATTTATTTCCCTCAGCACCCACATCTACCACCTGTGGATCAAGCAGAACAGTGTTGCTTTGGCCCTTAATATTTGTATTCTGGATTTAACCATAAATTTTATTTAAAATGAAAATAGGCTTGTATGTAAAATTTAACTGCTTGAGGAAAACCTGTGCGAGACAAAAAACAGAAATGTATGAAAATCTTAAGAGATAAAAGGCACAGTAACGAGTTATAACTAGGTTTACAAGCATTCAACATGGCAAAATGACTTGTACTGTGTATGACATTAATGTACAATGATGTTGTTGTTGTTGTTGTTAAATGTTGTCGAGTCAGATGTAACTCATAACAATCCTTTATAGATGTGGCTGATGAAGTCTGAACAGCCGACGCTGAAGTTCAAACCGACCTTGAGGTCCAGCGCATTATCCTACAACACCACACCAGGATTCCACAATGACATTAATCATTGATTTGCAAATGCCAATGGAGAAAATATTTAATTTAAATTACAATGCTAAAACTTATAATTTCTCCTATTAAATGAAAAATCAACACATTGGTATTTTATTTTTTAAATCTTGATACACATTTGTTTTCATTTTTGTCAGGAATTTTGGAACTGCAATTTAGGTATAAATACTAAAACCTTACGTCATTATACTATGATTAGAGATCCCAAGTCTTAACTCCTCTCTAAGCAATGGTTAAGAACTATATCTAACATACGTTGCTGTTAAGTGCCACTGAGCCAGTCCCGACCCATAGCAATCCTATATAGGATTTCCAAGGAGCAGCTGTAAGCAAGTGAGATTATGAATAAACTGTACCTGGTAGTCCCATATTTTAACAAGACGATCATCTGCACCTGAAATGAGGTATGGCTTGTCGCCACCGCTGTAGTAATCAATGCAATTCACACCTTTCTCGTGTCCCTCCAGAGTGAAGTTTGGTGAAGAAGAGCCCAGCTGCCATACCTTCAGAGAGCAAAAAACTGCTAGTCAATGCAAGGCCTTTCAAAAGACAGCTCCACTACAGTTCTATTACATAAAATGCAAACGCCAAGGAGAGAGGAGCTGAGGAACATTCATTTTCCCACCTGCTCTTTCCCCACTTCACTTGAATATCCAAGGAGTTAACAGAATCACGATGATATTCACTAAAAATGCCAATTTCCCGACTTCACCCTAGAGATTATGATTCAGTTGATCTATGGGGAAGTCCAGGAATCTAATTTAAATACAGGTGATCCACAGACCACACTTTAAGAACCATTACCTTAAGGATAGGAAATTGTTTTTAAGAGAGTAAACATATGAAAGTGAATCTAGGTGATCCACTATATGTTAGTTGAAAATTACTGTGTAATTAAAAACTAAAAACGTATGAAAACACAGTAAAAAATTACTAAAATACAGATACTGAGTTTTATCTTTACAAATATTTTCTGAGTACCTACTATGCACAAGGCCCTGGGTGGAATATAGAGACATAAAATCAAACATTCTTATAGAGCAAACTTTATTTTGGAGAGCTTGATTATGATATGTCTTGGTTATTTTCTTTTGGGGTCTATCCATCCTGGGATTCGTTGAGCTTCTTGAATGTTTATCTTTTCACTTTTCAGGATATTAGAGAAATTTTCTTCAGCTGTTTTTGAACTATTTCCTCTGTGGACTTGTGTGATTCTTCTTCCTCTGGAATGCCAATAATTCTTAAGTTACTCCTCTTCATGTTGTCCAACATGAATCTTAGACCTTCTTCAGATTTTTTTATTCTTTTTTGTGTTTGTTCTTCTATCTTAATGGTATCAAGAGATTTGTCTTCCAGTTCACTGGTTCTGTCTTCCATCTTGTCTATTCTATTCCTTTGTCCTTTCAGAGTATTGTCTATTTCTGATATTCTGTTATTGATCGTTTGGACCTCTTTCTGTGGGTTTTGAACTGTTTCCAATGCTGTATCTATCTTATTTGATTGTTCCTGAAGCATTTTCCTGACTTCTTCCTTATTTTTCTCAACTCCATCGTAAAGTGTTTTGAAACATTTTATAATCATGTTTCTGAATTCCTTCTCAGGGCCTATTTCCAAGGCCTGCCCTCCTTCCAGAATGGAGTCCAGGTCATTTGTCTCAGGCATTTTATCTTGTTTCTGGACATGTGCTGATATGGTCTGCTTTTACTTCTTGGACATGTTTAGTGTTTATCTGTGGCCTTAATACTTAATTGAGTATGTGTTTTGGTATTTTGTATGCTTTCTGATTACTTCCAGGGAGATGTGATCAGGATGTGGGATTCCCTTTTCACTCTTCTTATTGCTTAACTCAGAGTAACTTTCACATGTGTTGTCTGCCTCCCTGGTATATGGCAGTTGGTATTGGTTCTTGCCTGGGTTTTGGTGTTTTATAGAGTGTGATTGTAGCTTGGCTATATGGCAGCAGTTGCTGACTCTTCTTGTGTAATATAGGGAGAGAGAGAGTCCTCCAAAGGTAGAAGGAGGAGCATATAACAGCAAAACTGCACCAGCGGAAAAAAAACTACAAGAAAAAAAAACACAGCAACAACAAAAACAAGACTGAATACTGCAGTCTATAATCACAGAAAAGGGAGAGGAGGGAGAGAAGAAGAAAAAAAAATCTGTAGCCTAATATGAGTATGAATTTAATGTCCTCTCTTCAGCTTCTTGCTTTCAAAGCTGCCTGAGAGATTTCAAAATGCCAGTGTTGATTGTTATGCTATACCTCAGGCTTTAATTTAGTTTTCAGCCTGTTTTGTTTTTAAACTCCCTTTTCCTCTCTACAGCCCTGTTCTGCCCTTTCCCATATTAAAAAACAAAACAAAACAAAAAACAAACAAGCAAAAAACGTTCAGGGCCTGCTCTTGGGCTGAGTATCTGTGCACATGCATGGCAGAAGAACCCACCAGTGGTGAGGGTGGGGGGGGTGTCCACTCACTCAGGCTCCCCATCTAGTCACCAGAATGGAGATGGGCAAACAGTGGGTGCGCCAATGACCAGATACCAAAAAAAAAAAAAAAAAAAGATAATCAGAACAAAGTAAAACTGATCAAGTGTATTGTCCACCTTTGCCCCAAGGTTCCCGCGGTGTTCTTCCATGGTGTTTCTGCCCCCCCCCCCCCCCCCCCCCCCCCCCCCCCCCGCATGGTCTTGCTGTTTGGTCTCACCCAAGATGTTGTCTCCGGGCCTCCGAGCCCAGCTCGGCAGATTCAAAAGTATGTGATTTTTTACTTCAGTTCCATTTTCCACAAACTGTAAGCCTTCAAATTTTTAAAAAATATTCCTATCTCTGTGGTTCCGAGTTTTGGAGCTCTGCCCTGGATCTGCTTTGCCTGGTATTCTGTGGTACTGCTGATGGCGAACTTCACTGTACCTCTACCCTAGTCACCATCAAGTCCCGTCTCTAGAGCAAACTTCATTGGAGACAAGGGTAAGTGTACTCAAAATAAACTTCATTTAGTGAGGGAAGTTTAAAACAAGTTTCAAAGTTTCTAATTTTTGTCATTGGGCATCAGACTTCAAGTTGTTTGAACTGCAAAATAGGTGGTTCAAGCTCACCAGCTGCTCCTTGGAAAGCCTATACAGGGTCTCTATGGGTCAGAATCAACTCGACAGCACTTAACAACAACAATCTTTGTCAAAAACAAGGACAAGCCAGTAAAAGGGGGAAATGTAAGATCATGCCTCAGATAATAATACACACACTTTGAACAATAAAATGTTGCACAGATATAAAGCATGCATGTATTAAGCAAAAAATACAATACACAATTTTGTCTTTTGGTGCTGTCTAGTTAGTTTCTATTTTTGGTAACCTATGTACAACAGAAGGAAACAGTGACCAATCCTGCACCATCCTCACAATGGTGCTATGTCTGTGTCAACTGCTGAAGCCACTGTGTCAGTTCTTCTCATTGAAGGGCTGCCTCTTTTTTACTGACCCTCTACTTTACTATCAGAAAGATGTTTACCTGTGCTTTATTGACTACACAAAGGCTTTCGAATGTGTGGATCATGATAAGCTATGGACAACATTGAGAAGTATGAGTAGTCCAGAACACTTAATTGTACTTTTGAGGAATCTGTACCTGGACCAAGAAGCAGTTGTTCGTTGTTCGAACAGAGCATGGGAACACTGAATGTTTTAAAATAGGGAAAGGTGTGCAACAAGGTTGTGCTCTTTCACCATACTTATTCAAGCTGTATGATGAGCAAATAATACAAGAAGCTGGGTTCTATGAAGAAAAATGTGGCGTCAGGATTGGAGGAAGACTCATTAACAACCTGTGAAATGCAGATGATACAACTTTTCTTGCTGAAAGTGAAGAGGACTTGAAACATTTATTGATGAAGATCAAAGAACACAGCCTTAGGTATGGGTTGCATCTCAATGTCAGAAAAACAAAAATCCTCACCACTGGACCAATAAACATTCTTATCAATGGAGAAAAGATTGAAGTTGTCAAGGACTTCATTCTTCTTGGATCAACTATCAACACTCGCAGAAGCAGCAGTCAAGAGATCAGACGACGTATTGCATTGGGCAAATCTGCTGCACAGGAACTTTTTAAAGTGTTGAACAGCAGAGATGTCAGCTTGAGGACTAAGGTACGCCTGACCCAAGCCATGGTATTTTCAATAACCTCATATGGATGCGAAAGCTGGACAGTGAATAAGGAAGATCGTAGAAGAATTGATGCCTTTGAGTTGTGGTGTTGGAGGAGAATATTGAAAGTCCCATGGGCTGCCAAAAGAACCAACAGATCTGTTTTGGAAGAAGTGCAGTCAGAGTGCTCCTTAGAGGCCAGGATGGCTAAGCTTCGTCTCTCATAATTTGGACATATTGTCAAGAGGGAACAGTCGCTGGAGAAAGATGTCATGCTGGGTAAGATGGAGGGTCCGAGAAAAAGAGGAAGACCCCCCCAACGAGATGGATCAGCCAGGTGGCATCATTGATGGTGTCAAGTGTGGCAGCGGTGATGGGGTTGGCCCAGTATCGGACATTGTTTAGTTCTGCTGTGCATGGGGTCGCTATGAGTTGGTTCCGACTCAGTGGCACCTGACAACAACAACAACTTTACTAAAAATGATGGTGGTGGTGATGTGCCAGGGAGTCGGTTCTGACTCATAGCAACCCTGCATACGATTTCAGAGGCTGTAAATCTTTACAAGAGCAGAAAGCCTCATGTTTGTTTCACAGAACCGCTGGTAGTTTCAAACTGCTGACCTTGAAGGTTAGCAGGCTGACCCGTAACCACTACACTACCAAATATGAGACAAAACCTCACCATCCTTGTTTCTAAGGAACATTTTGGCTGTACTACTTCCAAGACAGATTTGTTTCTTCTTCTGGAAGTCCAAGGTATATTAAACATTCTTTGCCAATATCATAATTCAAATGTATCAATTCTTGGAATGAGCACCAATATGGATCTTTTCCAGTTGGATGGCTAGGGAGCTCTCTGGAGTTTCTTGGCACAGATGAGTGCTTTCATTTGTTGAAATAGCTCAATTGGTATTCATCATTTTCTGGAGCATTCTTTCGTCACTGCCTTCATTGCAGCTTGGACCTCTTCCTTCAATACTACCAGTTTTTGATTATATGCTACCTCCTGGAATGAATGAGTATCGACCAATTCTTTCTGGTACACTGACTCTGAGTATTTCTTCTATTTTCTTTTGATGCTTCCTGCTTTGCTCACCATTTTTGCCCATGGTGGTGGTAGCGGTGTGCTGTGGAGTTGGTTCTAACTCATGGCGACCCTGCATAGGGTTTCCAAGACTGTAAATCTTTACGGGAGCAGTGGAATGGCTGGTAGTTTCAAACTGATGACCTTGAGGTTAGCAGCCCTACTCGTCGTATCCACTGCCCATAGAATCCTTCAATATTGCAACTTAAAATTTGAGTTTTTTCTTCAGTTATTTCACCTTGAGAAATGCCAAGCATGTTTTAGCATTTTGATTTTCTAAGTCTAGGCCTTTTGCATTTCACTGTAATACTTTACTTTGTCATTTCAAGCTGTCCTTTGAAATGTCCTGTTTACTTCATTATTTCTTCCTTTAGCTATTTAGATACTCTATGACATTCAAGAGCAAGTTTCAGAGTCTCTTCTGACATCCATTTTGGCCTTTTTATCTGTCTTTAATGGACTTTTGTTTTTCTGCATGATGTTTATGTTATCCCACAACTTGTCTGGTCTTGGGTCATTAGTGTCCAATGCATTAAATTTATTCTTGAGACAGTCTCTAAATTCAGGTTGGATGTTCTCGATGATTTATTTTGGCTCTTGTGGACATGTTTTAATTTTCTTAATCTTCAACCTGAACTGACAAATGAATAATTGATGGTATGCTTCACAGTCAGTTCCTGGCCTTGTTCTGACTTATTATATTGAGCTTCTCTAGCTCTTTCCACAGATGAAGTTTATTTTATTCATGTACATTCCATCTGGCGAAATCCATGTATACAATTGTTGTTATGTTGCTGAGAAACAGTACTTCCAAATGAGTAAGTCAATGTTACTGCAAAATTCTATCATGCAATCTCCCATGTTGGCTCTATTACCAATGCCATATTTTCCAACTATTGATGCTTCTTTTTTGCTTACCACTTCTGTATTCCAATCACTAGTAATTATCAATGATTATAAAATTATCAACATAATTTTAAATCTATGCATATAGCTATTTTAAATGTTGCCATATAGTTGCGTTGCTATTACATGTCACTAAGTCAGTTCTGTCTCATAGCCACCCTGTATAGGCTTTCCAAGGAAACAACTGGTGAGTCTGAACTGCTGACCTTATGGTTAGCAGTCCAGTGCATATCCTACAGCATCACACCAGGACTCTAAATGTTATAATAGAAAAAGGAACATATTCTGAGCATCTAGTTCAGACACTGGGCTGCTTGCTAGCAAATGTCTGCAGGGGCAGGAGGTGACACACAATTCCTGCACCAAATATCCATCAACTCGGGGGATAAACAGATACGTTTCCAGAGATATATTAACTATGATGCAGGTTCAAAAAACTATAATAGAGACAAAAACAAGAGAAGGAATGGTTGACTCTGCCCGTAGGTGAAAATGTCTAAGGAGAGATTCTAAGAGCAAATCCTTGTGTTACACTTTGACAAATAAATAGTTCTCCAGACAAAATTAATCACAAAGAGAAAAATAAGAGATTGCAAGCAGAGGGAATTAAATAAGCTAAGATTCTGTGAATATCACCAGGGTCACAGGAGAGGTCCCAACACTATTGGAAGATAGTCTAGTACATCCATTTATTCCACACTAAGTCCTATGGACTTTATCTTCAGAAAGATTACTGGCATCAGTATGGAGGAATGGAGTAAGAAAGGGAAAATGGTGGCAGATATAATTTAAATATAAAACATATTAATAAGCAGCAGAGGTCAGTAGCAAATACACTAAAAGGAAATGAAAGCAGTAAGCTAGAAAAGATTTAAGTATTTTTCTTATTCTGAGTGTCCAGAAGCTGATAAAAATACTTACAAAATACTGTCTTCACATGGTAGAGGCCACAGTTGCTACACTATTTATTGAAACATGCCCTCTTAGTCAAAATGAGCAACTCTATTTGAGAGAAACTCTTAATATAGTAAAATTTCCTGGACAGCCGGTAGTAAAAAACGAAAACACTGCATTTCATCCACAATCACATGATCCACAAGAGTGGACACCTTACCTTGATGGTCCTGTCCAAAGAAGCACTGGCAAACTGATTGTTATCTTTGGGGTTGATGACAATCTGCATAACATAATGGGTGTGTCCTTCAAATACTTGTGAGCAAGACCATTTTTTATCCCAGTCCCAAAGCTTAATAAGCATGTCATCTAGGGCAAAAGAAGGGCTCAGGTTAGTGACACTTTTCTTTCATTTCAAAACTAAGACGGTGTTTGTGCCTTTTAAGGTGGGAAACTCTAAACTCACAGAACTAGAATGAGAATTGCATAGATTTTTCAAAATCCTTATTTATTCTAAGAATAAACTTAACTGTCTTTAGACAAGTCAACAAACCAAATTACAAAGAGCAAATACAAAACTCTTGTGACAAATGTGATGAAAAATGCAGTGAGATGTAAAGAGGAACAAAAGGTCAACACAAGTCTGTTTAATTCTGGGTCTGATGGAATCAGTACGGCAATGACTACAGAACAATCACTTGCTTTTCTGATACAAGATTGGTTAAAATAGAAGTTCTGAATTCCTTCTCAATTTTTAATTCAAAAATGCTTCAAAGAGATATTGTAAATTTAGTACTAATTGTCTTAATAGGTCTCCAAAAGGGCTACTGTTTTATACATAATACCAAGGAGTAAGCTAGTCTGAATATAAAGATAAAACTGACTAAGGCATAGCAATAGGCCATTCACTGTCAGCATGTAAATGAGCTCTCGGTTCAGATGGTTTAAGCATCTAGAACCCTCATGTCTTCCCTGACAGGAATCTGTTATACAAACCTAGGTACTATAGATAAAATACAAAAGCAAGCAGCATCCATATGATGTGTTAATAAATTTCAATAGTTGAAAGTTAACCTGGCATTAGAGTTACTTGTAGTCATTAGAGTTACTGGCTGTTAAAGAATAGCATATCTTCCCATATGAGAATGCATTAGTCAAAGAGATAGACAACACAAAAGCAGGTCTTGTCTTACCACTGCTAGTTAGGATGAAAGGCTGGGTTGGATGGACAGCAATACAGCGAATGTAGTCTGAGTGTGCTTCAAACATATGAACTCTCTCCAGAGTATTGTAATTGAACACTCTAATCTGCATGTCATCCTAGAAATGAACATTTTAAAACCATCATTTTTGTTATGAAGTAAAAGACATGAATAACTATATTATGGTGGTGGTGGTTATGTGCCGTGGAGTTGGAACCGACTCATAGCAACCTTGTGCAGGGTTTCCGAGGCTGTAAATCTTTACAGGAGCAGAAAGCCTCATCTTTCTCCCACAGAACAGCTGGTAGTTTTGAACTGCTGACCTTAAGGTTAGCAGCCTGATTTGTAACCACTACGCTACCAAAGCTCCTTATAGGCTCAAGGAGGGAATGAAGACCATGCTTCAAAATATTGTGGCAAATTATATATATATAAAATAATTAAAATTCTACAACTAATTTACATAATTATTGACCAATTCAGAAAATAGGATTACAGATTCTTATAGTTACTTACCGCTCCTGTTACAACCCAGTTCTTCCTTGCAACAAACTTTGCAGCTCGAACAGGAAGGTCACACACTTCAAATGTCTTCACTAGAGTCTTAAAATTTACAAGAAAATACAGTTTTTTTGCATGAGAAAATAGCTGAAAAAATCTATTCTGTATATTTTAAGGCATTCAATTATTTAGATCACTTTGAATTTAAAACATTCTCAGACTAAAACATGAAAAATTCAAATTCAAACAAAAAGTAAGCAACCAGTTATCTAACAGGTTCAAAATTAAAATAATTTTTAAAGGAACACAGTAAGTACTTGGGTGAATTAATTTGCTTAGTTTCTTATTTTAAATTAAATGCCCAAGAGTGACTCAAAACCAGGTACAAATTCAGCAATATGTTTCCACATTAATGTTACTTATTTCCTTTTAATGAGGTCTGATAACAAAGTGATTTAGAATTTCTCCAAACTACTCAGAAACTATATTTACAAGAATATATCAAAACGTACTGCTATAAAATCATAGAAATCTTTAAACAAAAATATCAAAATGTGAAATTACGGTTTCTCAACATATCCTCTATCTGAAGGCAGTGGTTTCATCTCTTTAACTCTTCCCCAAGGAATTCTGTGCGCTTTGATTTACACATAAAAACAGCAGTTTTAGTATCCTCAGTGGACTATAAAATTGTACTCCTTTTAAATGTTCTTTGGATTAGGAGAACAAAAGAATGTCTTAAAAGGCAAAATGAGGACTGTAGGGTGGATGAAGTAAAGGTTTTCCAAAGAAATTCTCCTAGGATAGCCCTTGCTACCCTGGAAGAAGGAGCAGGAGCATTGTTATGATGGGAAAAATTCCTCAGCACAACTTTCCTGGTCTTTTTTTCACCAATAGTTTTTAATTTTCATAAAAATTCTTCATAAGCCCCTTGTGATCATCCTGTGCCTTTCAAGAAAATCTATCAAGATTACTTCTTAAAAATTCCAAAACAAAAAGTCTCCATAACCTTCTGAGCTGACCTCTCTGCCTTAAATGTAACTGGCCAATCATAGCCCCTCAGAAGGCACTGTTTTGATTTGACCTTTTTTATGAAGGCACCCTTTATTGTGTGGATCATGACAAGCTATGGACAACATTGTGAAGTATGAGTACTCCAGAACACTTAATTGTGCTCATGAGGAATCTGTACATGGACCAAGAAGCAGTTGTTCAAACAGAACATGGGAACACTGAATGGTTTAAAATAAGAAAAGTGTGCAAAAAGGTTTTATTCTTTCACCATACTTATTTAACCTGTATGCTGAGCAAATAATCTGAGAAGCTGGGTTCTATGAAGAAAAACGTGGCATCAGGATTGTAGGAAGACTCATTAACAGCCTGCGATATGTAGATGATACAACCTTGCTTGCTGAAAGTGAAGAGGACTTAAAATATTTACTGATGAAGATCAAAGAGCACAGCCTTCGATATGGATTACATCTCAATGTAAAGAAAACAAAAATCCTCACCACTGGGCCAATAAACAACATTCTTATCAATGGAGAAAATATTGAAGTTGTCAAGGACTTCCTTTTTCTTGGATCAACTATCAACACTCAGGGAAGCAGCAGTCAAGAAATCAAACAATCTGTGTAGCTGAATGACATTTATCTATATAGTCATTTTTTTTTTTTTCATTCTCATTGACATCAAGTCAATTACAATTCATAGCAACCCTATATATAGAGTTTCTGAGTACAGAATCAGACAGCCTCATCTTTCTCCCACAGAAAGTTAACAGTCCAATGCGCCACCAGGATCCTTACCACTATTATAGAGCATTTGAGAAAAAAACATAAAAGCCTTCTTTTTAAGAATGCCAGAATATTTACTAAATGGGAAGTTAATTATTAAATATTTTTTCTAGTGTAAGTGATTCTCTATCAGCCTCAGCTTCAAAAAGATCCACTACCCACAAAAGAGTTTGCCGATATTTGAATATTTTTTGTAAAGTGCTCAGAACAGTTTCCTCCACCTTTGTTAGTTCATCTTTATTTAAAATATTTTGTACCAATTTGAGAAAGCAGCTTGTGTATAGACTTCGATACATTATTTCCTGTTTGATTATAAACAATCTAACAGACTATTTTATTTCTAGCAGTCCTTAGAAGTCCCTACCTGTGTCTCATGATTCCAAACACACACACTGCCGTTGTAAAGACTGGCCAACATCCATGGCTCTGTAGGATGCAAATCCACACTCTTTACTCGATCAGACCGAGCAGTTAGCTTTCTCTTGATGTCAAGTCGCAGAGGCTAAGGGGAAACAAACAAAACACAAAACTGCTAAGCCAAATACATTCAAGATACAATCTAATCACAGTGTATTAACAGGTCTCCAAAAACAATTTAGTTTTACTTTGTCAAGTTGTAGGCATAGTTTCAAGTATAAGTCAATTACTTCTTCACTCATGAATTTTTAAAAAATGGGGATAAATAAGCAGTTCTCAAATTTCTTGTTCTCAGGACCTCTTTATAAACTTAAAATATTTAGTCTTAAAATTTTTGAGGATCCCAAAATTTATGGGGCTATATCTATTAATCAGGAGAAAGATGAGGGTTTCTGTTCTTTTAAAAAGATTTAAAACCTTGGAAACCCTATACAGGGTCGCTGTTAGTTGAAACAACTCCAAGGCACTTAAACATCTGTTAAAGCACCCATGTATGTTAGGGCTACATCTGTTGAAGCACTGGACTGCTTACCATGAGGTTGGCAGTTCAAAACTACCAACTGCTCTCAGAAATCCTATACAGGGTCACTATGAATCAGAACCGATTCAATAGCACACAACAACATAACTATTGACACTGACCATAATAAAAATTTAAACTGAACAAAGGCTTAAGATATTTATTAATTTTAAGTAAAATAAACGCATTAGTGGTTAAGGTTAATTTAAAAAACAACAATTTCCAAAATAATTTTAGTAAAAATAGCAATGTTTTGGGGTTTTTTAAAAATTTTATTTTAATAGAAGACAATTGGTTTTTCTCATCCGTTTCTGCCTTCTAGCTGCTGTAATGTATTGTTTTGACTGACTTACATGAAATAAACTTAGCCTCACACAGAATTTGTGTGAAAAGAGAGTATTATTTTAATAATCTTTCTGGATAATTGTCAATATTCTTTGATACCACACCAAAATTCAGAAAGTGGTTGTCTCTTAGAGATTACTTTATAATGTACAATATGAAGCCACATCAATGAGCTTTTTACATTTTGTGGCATTAAAATCCCCTGGCTTATCCTGTAATTTGAATAAATATTTTACCCTCACACAATTCTGTAACATGATGCATTCATTAGTCATTTGGAAAATGTTGGTTCACTGAATTACGAAGATCTTCCAAATATAGATATATGTCATTATACAGTATCAAAAAGTCACATTCATTACCATCATCTGAAATCTCAACTGATATGTCTATAAGTATTAAAAAATCTCTCAGGCTCACAGCCACTGAAAGCTCCAATTTTAGCACTGACAGCAAATCTGTCAGTGGCCAATAAAATTCTTTCATTTGTGAAAATGTATTTCCCAAAATACCAAGTCTACATAACCATAGTTTATCTGTCATTCTTTCAAATAAAGCTGGCAACTCAAACAACCGTACAAGTACTTTTCTTTGAAACAATTAACATATTTTGATATGTTTTATGCTTTATGCATGCTTCCCATTTAAGCACACAGATATTATACAAACATGTACTTTAGTCTAAATGTAATAAATTTAATAATTTTTATTTATTTTTTACTTTTTAACAACTGTGTGAGACTGAAGAATAACTTCCAGTGAAGTTGGTGCCACAGCCATAGCTTGTGTTGTTGCTGTTGTTAAGTGCTGTTGAGTTGGTTCCAACCCATAGCAACCCTGTACAGGGTTTCCAAGGAGCAGCTGGTGAACTTCAGCCACCAACCTTGCAGTTCAAATGACTTTGCAGTCTGATGCCTTAGCCCCACACTTTCCATGACTCAGTACAAATATCACCTTTGTGATAAAGGCCAATGCGTATCATAATGAAGAAAATAGTTTTAAATTTGTGGACCTTCTGAAAAGATTTCAAGGACCAGGTTTCAGGAAACCTATGGTTTATAGAATATCTAGCAAATTAATATGTGAAGTATTCCCTATATTACAAATATGTAACGGTGTCATTCATGTTATATATTTTTAAAAATGCCTAAAGAAGTGTTATTCATAAAGTAATAGTACAAGAGTTGTTAAGTGTCATCAAGTTGGTTCTGACTCATAATGAGCCTGTAAAGAGTTTCTGAGGCGCCACCGTTGGGTCTGACATTGTGGTTAGGAGTCCAGCACTTATCCTATAACGCCGTTCTAAGATTCCACTAGTACAGGTTACTCCCAAGTCCTGTAAGTCTCATCCATAGTTATGAACCAATAACATCTGCCTCTCCTTAAATCTATTTTATTAAGATGAGGTACACACAGTGGCTCCTAAGAACAAATAAGTGCTACTTTGCAATACCTATCAAAACATTATTATTATTACTATATATGTCCTGGAGTCCTGGTGTGGCACTGCGGGTTAACTTACTGGACTGCAAAGTTGGATTGAACCGCAAGGTCAGTGTTCCAAGCTCAACGGCTGTTCCTTGGAAACCCTATACAAGGTCGCTATGGGTCAGAACCGAATGAACAGCACTTAACAACAACATACATGTCCTGTAGTGGTGCTGTAGGATAAGCACTGGAATGCAAGGCCGGCACTTCAAACCATCCAGTCACTCTTCAGAAACTATACAGGGTAGTTAGGAGTTGGAAATGTCTGGATAGCACTTAACAACAACTAATTAAAGATATTCTGGAAGTGTTTCTCTAATTTTTATGCAAAGAAAGTACATAATATACTAAAGTGAACATGTGAAGAACTGATTTTACATGTGAACTCCTGCCTAACAGTTCTGACTTATATACAAATTCAATTTAAAGATAAATTTTGTTTGTAATCCACATATTGCCTGTACCCTAATCTATAAAATTAAATACCTTAAAACATCATATAAGGTTGATTTTGAAAAAATAAAAATAAAAATTTAGTAACTTCAATACAATGGAATGCATGATCAGTAAGGACTGTATAATCATACAGGGCTTTGAAGTCAAGTGAATGTTTACAATATTTTAATGGATTAAGTTACACAAGCAAAATGAAAATCAGAACAATTTTCATCAAAAGCTAAAATACTGTTGAGTCAGAAAACAGTAACAGTTTAAAATAATCGTTATCACCCAGATTCCTCATCTGACCCAGAGAATAAGTAAAAAAAAAAAAAACCCACATGCACTGAGTCAGTTCCAAATCAGAGACCCTGTAGAAAGTTTTTGAGGCTGTAAATCTTGACACAAGCAGAAAACCTCATCTTCCTCTAGGGGAGCAGCTGGTGGGTTTGAACTGCCAACCTTGTATATAGCAGTCCAGTGCTTACCCTACAGCACCACCAGAATATTAATTTAGTAACTATTTTCTCAATTTTCCCAAGGGTGCCAGTCTAAGAGAAAAGTTAATTCATCATATACTCATGCAATGATGCTTTAGAGCCCCAAACCAGAAGGACAAACCCACTGCATGAAATCAATTCCAAATCATAGTGACCCTACAAAGGGTTTCCAAGACTATAAAACTTCATAGGAGCACACAGACTCATCTTCCTCCCACAGTGTGGCTGAGGGTTTTAAGTGCAGAGCTGGTCGTTAAGCAACCCTACCCCTAACGCACAGTACCACCAGAGGTCCTTTAGGGCAGGAGAGCTTAACTCTCTCAAATGCATGTTGAGAAATGTTCCATTTCAAGAGGACTTAAACCTAATCTAAAAGTTTATCTGGTGAGTTTCTATCAAAACTTTAGTTTTGTGAGCTTCTATGATAATCATAAATGCGATAAAAATTTAAGGTTACTTTCTGACATAAAGAACTAGCAGAGAAAATTTCCTAAGACAAAACAAACACCTCACAAGGCCTTAATTCACCTCATTGGGATTTCTATTAAATGTTGTACGTACTTCTGTATGTGACTCCTTCTCTTTCAGCAGCTACCTTTAGCTCTTACTTTACAAGATCAAAGTTCTCTGTCTCTTCTTTTCTATTACCTTAAACTTTCACTTCCAAACTTCACTCTCCCTCTTAAACTTTCTACCTTCAAATCATCTTCTCATTCTCTGCCAGTTCAAAGAAGCAAGACCTAAATGTTGTTCCACTAGTTACAAACAAATCCCTTTTTTTCTGGTTCCTTAATAGTTAACAAAGTGTCTACTATGTACCAGGAACCTAGAGGAAGCTGGACACTTATAAATTATGTATGTGTTACCATACAGTTATTGATTTATTGACTAAGGATTCCTGGTGGTACAGGGGTTACACTCTTGTCTGCTAACCAGTTTGAAGCCACCAGCCTCTCTGCAGGAGAAAGATGAGGCAGTGTGCTTCTCCATGGATTTATAGCCTTGAAAACCCTATGGGGACATTTCTACTTTATCCTATAAGGATGTTATGAGTAGGAATCGACTCAATGGCAGTGGGTTTGGTTTTTTGGGTTTATTAGAGTCCTGGTGTGGCAATATAGGATAAGCACTGGACTGCTAACCACAAGCTGGGCGGTTCAAACCCACCAGTCACTCCTCAGAAACCCTATACAGGGTTGCTATCAGTCAGAACCAACTTGACAGCACTTAACAAGGACTGAGTAGAAGCGGTGCTCCAGGAAGGTAGGCCAGGAATATATAAACCATACACAGGCCTACTGCACAAAATACAGGTCTGGGCTCTTTCATATTGCTTCTAACATTTCAGTGACTTCTTTGAATAACACACTGTACCGGGTACTCTGCACAATATAAAGATGAGTAAGATGCCAGATCTGTTAACAAGGAGGGACAAATTAGTCAAGTAATACAAAATATATGTAAGTATCACACAAGTAAGGTGGAACAAGGGTGTTCTAAGTGGATAAGGATCGCTTCTGGCTATGAGACACCAAGAAGGACATCTGAATTGGGCCTTGAAGGACAGGTATAAATTAGATGTTGAAAATTTTCTATAGGCAATTATTCTGTTGTAGCAGAGAACAGAAGGTGAGTGATTACTGTATGTCCTTGTTGTTAAGTGCCACCAACTTAGTTCCAACTCATAGCAACCCTGAACTGGGTTTCCAAGGCTTTAAATCTTTGTGGGAGCAGAAAGCTTCATTTTCTCCTGCAAAGCGGCTGATGAGCTTATAATATAGTAAAAAC